TATGTATAAACAATTTACTAAAAAATTATTGAGTTATAAATTTTTTGAGCTCGTTGATACTAGTATGATAATAAATACCTATTAAATTTTAATATATATTTTGATATATATGCATGTGATTTCTTCTTAAAGTTGTGCGCTAGATTTCATATAACTATCACAGCGCCTTTAATTTATGAATGCATTGAATTCAATTCTGGGTCAGGTATTTATAGATGTAAAGCACATGGATGCAATAATGAATCGACCGTAGCCGACACTAAGCTCTAAAATTGGCTAACTACGAGTACGAATTGACTATAATCAAGAGTATATATAGTATAAATATATGAATATTGACACCAATTTTGTAAGGTCTGACAAACCAAACCAGAGATGACGAGCCGAAACCAATATACTCACTTCAAATAACTTACAGAGCATCAGCATAAATAAGCAACACATTAGAGCAACTTTTTAGACGAAATGAACTAAGCAGGATTTGTACTTGAGCTGATGGGCAAGGAACACTCAGCGCTGGCTCACTTCCCCATTCCGGCAAATAGCAAGGGGAAAGGCACCTCGTCGTTGTTCAGCAGAGGCGGAGTGGGTGCACGTGCATCCGCCTCGGTGGTGCTATTTAGCCAATAGGTGGTGACAGTGCCCTTGCCTTTGAGCTCCACATCGCCGCGATGCTCCAGCTGAAAGGTGCCAAATTTATCCAGGATGGCTTTTGTGGCCGACGAAACATGAATTTTGCCAGCTATGTTTTTTTGTGGAATAGACACACGGAGAGTGAGAAAATAAGTAGAAATATCGGGTGAGATTTTTTTTGTGGTGCTCAAGTGTAAAAATCATATTTGATTTATATAATATTTGAGGTACATTTTTTTTTGCCTGTTCAACATTATTTTCAACAATCGTTCCCGCCCAGCTCAGCTTAACTTTTTTTACTGGGATCTGCATACAAATGGTTAATAAACTAATTTTCACTCACGCATGCCTGTCGTCTCCAGACGTGAAGCGGTATTCACAGTATCTCCAAAGAGACAGTAGTGTGGCATCTTCTTGCCCACGACGCCGGCGCAGACAGAGCCCGAGTGCATGCCGATGCGAATCTGTATCTTGTAGTCCGGCTTGTGTCTCAGATTGAAGGAGCAGACAGCCTGAAGTATGTCCAGGGCCATCAGCGCAATCTCTCGAGCATGCTTATCGCCATTGGGCTCCGGGAGCCCAGAGACCACCAGGTAAGCATCGCCAATTGTTTCCACCTACGGGCAGCAGTTAAGACAACAATGAATACTCCTATCCGCCTCGGGGCATGGGTAGCTCACCTTGTAGACATCATAGAAGCCAATGATGCGGTCGAATGTGCTATAGAGATCGTTGAGAAAGTTGACCACGTCCATGGGTGTGCTGCGTGCGCAGAGCTCGGTGAAGCCCACAATGTCGCTGAAGTAGATGGTGACGCTGCTAAACTCCTCGGGCTCCACCAGATCGCCAGCCATTAGCTGCTGGGCGACAGGGCGTGGCAGGATCTGGTATAGGAGCTCCTCGGTGCGTTGTTTCTCCAGGCTCAGCTGGCGTGTTTTCTCCTCCACAAGGCTTTCCAAATTGTTGGCGTAGTGCTCCATGCGATTCAGTAAATCGTCCATTAGATTCTCACAGAATCCTCTGAAGAGAAATACAATATATATAGGAGAGCCAATGGATAGCTGAGATCGACTCCCACTCACTTCATAATCGTCCGTATGTTGCTTCGGATCGTAGAGAACGCTGGCCGCTCCTCCTGGTTGTCGGCCCAGCACTTCTCCATCAACACCAGCAAATCCGGCGGACACTCCCGCTCCCGTATGAGTGGCCTGAAAGGCGGATACTCGCACTGCCGCACCTTGTGCAGAATGGTGTGCACGTCCATGCCCTGTTGACGCGCCTCCTGGTAGGGTCCGCCCCGATTGACGATCTCCTCGAGAATGATGCCGAAGGAGTAAACATCGCCACGCTGGGTGGCCGGGCAACCGGGTATCGAGGTCATGGGCAGCAGCTCCGGGGCTATCCACAGCAGCTCTGCAAAAGCAACTTTGTGAGCAACAAGAAGAGAATATGGCTGACTCCTTACTGGTATAATAGTTCTGATCCCGCACAAAGTCGGAGGGCGTGGTCAGTGTGCTCAGGCCAAAGTCGGAGATCTTGAGGACGAAGCGTCCGTCGATCAGGCAATTGCAGGAGCGCAGCTTGCCGTGAGCCACCACATCGCAGTTATGCAGATAGCTCATGCCCTTGACGATGTCGTGGATCAGAGACATGCGAAAGTTCCAGTCCAGCTCGATGGCCTCGTTCTCCAGCACGTCCTTCAGGCTGCCGCGCGAGCAGTACTCCGTCAGGATGAGCACCGTTGGCCTGGGCAAATCGATGCAGGCGCCCACAAAGCGCACCGTGTTCTCGTGGCTCACATCTCGCGCCTGCTTGATCTCCCAGAGCAGCGTCGAGGTCACCTCCACCTTCTTCACGTTCACCTTCTTGATGGCCACGCGCTCGCCCTTGAACTGTCCAATCGTCGTGTAGACCTGCGGCGGCAGCGACGCGAAGCTGGCAATCGACGCACGGCCCGAGTGGATGCCGAACTGCTGCAACGATATATTCTCCACGTCCAGCCGCTGCAGCCCGCCCTTGGAGCCAAACATGCCGCCCATCTCGATGAGCACATCCTCCGGTCGCACGCGCCACGACATATTGTGCAGCTCCTTGCTGAGCTTCATCTGCCTGCAATAAACCAAATGGAACGGAGAGTGAGCAGGGATGGGTTTTCATAAGGGACTAACCTTAACTCTATCTGCAAACTAAACATTTCATAATTTACGATATTCAATAACTTAAGTTAATGTGAAAAAGGTCAATTTAGGTTTGTAACGTTATTTAAAGCGTCAATAACTTAGATTGAAACACATCATCCTTATGAATTAAATTATGCTCGATGTTTTAGTAACTCTTTCAAAATTAGTAATATGCAGTTAATAATTAGCTCCCATATTTTACGATATTCAATATGGTAAATAATCATTTTGAAGGATTTTCTTTATATACACTATTAGATATAGTAAATAAACTTAAAAAGTATTTCAAAAAGTCTTTTACGATATTCAATATCGTAAATAATAGCTTATAGAAAATTAAGTCCATTCGAATTGAGACTGAGTGAAGGAGTGAGGGGCATAAAATGTGTTGAGATAGTGGAAGTTCGCATGGACCCTGTGTCTCATATTTCACTG